TGCTGGAGATAATTCAAAAAAGGTTGCAGCATTACACTGACAGCTGCCAGAAATTCAAGACAAATTCAGAAGAGGATGTGGAACAAGGGAGATCACTGCTAATGCATCTTGGCTGAAAGCAAAGATTATTAGAAAGATGTCTACCTTTTATTGTTTTATTGACTTTGCAAAGGCATTCACGTGTGGATCATAACAAATTATGGATAACATTTCAAAGAATGGGAATTCCAGAACATTTAATTGTGCTTATGAAGAACCTATAGTCATTTGAACAGACCAAGGGGATATTGCATGGTTTAACATCAGGAGAAGTGTAAGTAAGGGTTGTACCCTTTCATCACACTCATTCAATCTGTATGCTGAGCAAATAACACAAGAAACTGTTCTTGTTGTTGTTAGGTGCCATTGAGCTGTCTCCAACTCATAGTGACCCTATGCAAAGCAGAATGAAACACCGCCTGGTCCTGAGCCAGCTCCACAATTCCTGCTACACTCAAGCCCACTGCCACCGCCACCATGTCAATCCACCTTGTTGAGGGCCTTCCCCTCTTTCATCAACCCTCCACCTTACCAAGCATGACATCTGTGTTAGACTGGGTTCTCTAGAGAAACAAAACCAATAAAGCTTATATATATGTATATACGGAGAAATTTATCTTAGGAAAATGGCTCATACACTTATAGAAGCTGGCAAGTCCAAAGTTCCTGGATTAAACATCAAGCTGGAGGCTTTTCCTGACTCTTGCAGCCACAGGGGCTGAGGAGCTCAAGGCTGGCAGGCAGTACACCGGCTGTTGACTCCAACGAATGATGAATCCAGGATCTCCAGGCCAAATGGTAGATTGTTCACTCACGGACAGTTGTAGGCAACACAACAGAATCCCAATCCACAGAAGAATGTCTCTTTTCCCAGGATGTCCATAGATATACTGGGAGTAGGCCACACCCCTAGGGAAACTCCCTTTCAACAGATTGCCTGCTCAAAACAAAATCATCTGATCCCATTATAGGAATAACCACATCACGACAGCTTAAACCACACAGAATTGTGGTCCAGCCCAGTTGACACACAGCTCCAACTATCACAACATCCTTCTCCAGGGAATGGTCCCTTCTGACAACATGACCAAAGTATGTGAGATGAAGTCTGGTCATTCTCTCCTCCAAGAAGCATTCTGGCTGCACTTCCTCCAGTACAGACACGTTAGTTCTTTTAGCAGTCTACAGTACTTTCAGCATTCTTCACCAACACCACAGCTCAAAAGCATCAACTCTTCTTTGGTCCTCCTTATTCACTGTCCAGCTCTCACATGCATATGAAGTGATTGAAAATACCATGACTTGTATCAGGCCCACCTTAGTCCTCAAGGAGACATCTTTGCTCTTCAGCACTTGAAAGAGGTCCTTTGCAACCGATTTGTCCAGTGCTATACATTGTCTGATGTCCTGACTGCTGCTTCCACTGGCGTCGATTGTAGAACCAAGCAATGTGAAGTCTTCGACAATTTCAATCTTTTCCCCATTTATTGTGATGCTGCTTATAGGTCCGGTTGTGAGGATTTTTGTTTTCTTTATATTGAGGTGTAATCCATACTGTAGACTGTATTCTTCAATCTTCATCAGTAAGTACTTTAAGTCATCCTCACTTTCAGCAAGCAAAATTGTGTCATCAGCGTATTGCAGGTTGTTAATGATTCTTCCTCCAATCCTGATGTCACATTCTTCTTCATACAGTCCAGCTTTCCGGATTATTTGCTCAGCATACAAGTTGAATAAGTATGGTGAAAGGATACAACCTTGAAACACTCCCTTCTTGATTTTCAACCCTGTAGTATCCCCTTGAACTGTTCAAATGACAGCCTCCTGGTTTATGTACAGGTTCCTCATGAATACAATGAAGTGTTCTGGAATTCCCATTTTTCTCAATGTCATCCATAATTTGTTATGATCCACACAATCAAATGCTTTTGCATAGTCAATAAAACACAAGTAAACATCTTTCTGGTATTCTCTACTTTGAGCCAGGATCCATCTGACATCAGCAATGATAGCCCTCATTCCATGTCCTCTTCTGAATCCAGCCTGCACCTCCGCAAGTTCTCTGTCAATACACTGTTGCAACCGTTTTTGATTTATCTTCAGTAAGATTTTACTTGCATGAGATATTAATGATATTGTTTGATAATTTCTACATTCTGTGGAATCACCTTTCTTTGGAATAGGTACAAATATGGATCTCTTCCAGTCAGTTGGCCAGGTAGCTGTCTTCTAAATCTCTTGGGATAATCGAGTGTGTGCCTCCAGCAGGGCATCCATATGTTGAAACATCGCAATGGGTATTCCGTCAATTCCTAGAGACTTGGTCCTCGCCAATTCCCTCAGTGCAGCTTCAACCTCTTCCCTCAATACCACTGGTTCTTGAACATATGCCACCTCCTGAAATGGATGAATATCAACCAGTTCTTTCTGGTACAGTGACTCTGTGTATTCCTTCCATCTTCTTTTGATGCTTCCTGCATCATTCAATATTTTGCCCATTGAATCTTTCAATACTGCAACTCAGGGCTTAAATTTTTTCCTCAGTTTTTCAGCTTGAGAAATGCTGAGCATGTTCTCCCCTTTTGGTTTTCTAACTCCAGGTCTTTGCACATTTCATTATAGTAATTGGCTTTGTCTGCTCGAGCTGCTCTTTGAAATACTCTGTTCAGCTCTTTTATCTTGTCATTTCTTCCATTTGCTTTAGCTACTCTTCGTTCTAGGGCAAGTGTCAGAGTCTCTTCTGACATCCATTTTGGTCTTTTCTTTCTTTCTCGTATTTTTAACGACCTCTTGCTTTCTTCATGGATGATGCTCTTGATGTCATACCACAATTCTTCTGGTTTTCAGTCACTGGTGTTCAGTGCATCAAATCTATTCTTTAGATGGTCTCTAAATTCAGGAGGGATATATTCAAGATCATATTTTGGCTCTTGTGGACTTGTTTTAATTGTCTTCAACTTCAAGTTGAACTTGCATATGAACAGTTGATGGTCTGTTCCACAATCAGCTCCTGGCCTGGTTTTGGCTGAAGATATGCGCTTTTCCATCGCCTCTTGCCACAGATGTAGTCAATTTGATTCCTGTGTTCTTGATCTGGTGAAGTCCACGTGTATAGATGGTGTTTGTGTTGTTAAATAAAGGTATTTGCAATGAATAAGTCATTGGCCTTGAAAAATTCTACTGTGCGATCTCCAGCATTATTTCTGTCACCAATGCCAAATTTTCCAACTACACAAGAAACAAGACTATATGAAAAACATGGCATCAGGACTGGAGGAAGACTTATTAACAACCTGTGATACGCAGACAACACAACCTTGCCTCTGAAAGTGAAGATGACTTGAAGTACTTACTGATGAAGATCAAAGACTACAGCCTTCACTATGGATTATACCTCAACATAAAGAAAACAAAAATCCTTACACATGGACCAATTAAGTAATGTCAAGACAAACAGACAAAAGTTTGAAGTTGTCAGGGATTTAATTTTACCTGGATCCACAAATAATGCCCATGGATGCAGCAGTCAAGACATCAGATGATGTATTGCACTGGGAAAATCTGCTGCAAAAGCTCTCTTTTGTTTAAAAGCAAAGATTTCACTTTGAAGACTAAGGTGCATCTGACCCAATCCATGGTACTTTCAATAGCCTCATACGCTTGCTAAAGCTGAACAAATGAATAAGGAAAATCAAGAACTGATGTCTTTGAATTGTGGTGTTGGCAAAGAATACTGAAAACACCATGCACTGCCAGAAGAACGAACAAATTTGTCTTGGGAGAAATATGGCCAGAACGCTCATTAGAAGCGAGAATGGCCAGATTTCCTCTCATATACTTTGGTCATGTTGTCAGTAGGGACTAGTCCCCGGATGATATCATTATGTAAAATACAGCGTCAGTGAAAAAGGGGAAGACCCTTAATGAGGACTGTAATACAGTGGCTGCGACCACGGGCTCAAGCATAGCAAGGATTGTGAGGATTGGTGCAAGCCGGGGCAGTGTTTTGTTCCGTTGTATTTAGGGTCACTAGGAATCATGTCCATTCCACGGCATCTAACAACAAAAATTCTCTGCCCCTTACTATTTTCTACAGCAAGAAACCTTAGAGTAGAGAAGAAGAGACAAAGTTGTTAAGTTTAATGAAACCTGTTGCCGGGGACTCAATTCTCACTCATTGCGACCATACAGGGTAGTGTAGAATTGCCTGATGGGGTTTTCAAGGGGGCCACAACTTTCTCCCGTGGAGCAACCGACCTTTAGTTTAGCAGTCCAGCGCCACCAGAGCTCCTAAGTTCCGTTAAAGTCCTCGTTAATGATCAAGAATTGCAGGGCCTGCAGGGACCACTACGTTTGGGGCCAGTCTTGCCATCCAACATTGCCAAGTGCAGAACAACGCTTAAGAAAGGGCTTTAAAATTTGTCTCCTGGAGTCTAAGGATGGAGTTCAGCGAGCGCCGCAGCTCGCATGTACGTGCCCGTGGGAGTGAGTCTAATTACCCCTAACTACCGTCGCATAGTTGCTGCGACGTCTCCAAAGGAACCACCGCTGAGGTCTGGTCCACGGCCAAGTTTTCACTGCTGGGAAAAACAACAAGGCCAGGCTCAACACCCCTTTCTAAAATATGTGGAAAGACAGAAAAATTTCTAGGAGTTTTCATCGGACCGCAGCTTAAGCCCACTTCCCCAATTCAGACAGTCATTACCACGTTCACTTTCTCGGTTATTCGCGCCATACTATCCGACGCGCGAAGATCGTCGCCGAAGATTTGCTCATTCCATCGCGGAGCATTGTGGGGCAGATAGTCCAGGCCGGGGCACGGCTCCGGACTGCCGAATGCATGGAACTACATTGCCCAGAGGAGCCCGCGCAGCAGCGGGAGCGGGCTGTGTGCGTAAGCGACCAAACTTCCGGGAGAACCTGGGGCGGGACTGCGGCGGAGGCTGGAGCGCAGCACCAGGATGCAGCGCCCGGGACCCTTCAGCACCCTCTACGGGCGGGTCCTGGCCCCGCTCCCCGGGCGGGCCGGAGGCGCGGCCTCCGGAGGAGGCGGCAACAGTTGGGCCGCCCCGGGTTCCCACGTGCAGCCACCGGGGCGCGCGCAGTCTGGGTCTTGCGGCCGCACCGGCAGCACCGGTACTAGTGGCGGTGGTGCCACCCTCGTCTTCCCGGCCCCCTCCACGATGTCCAAGGCCGAAGAGGCCAAGAAACTAGCGGGCCGCGCGGCGGTGGAGAACCACGTGAGGGTGAGCAGCTCGGGGCGTCGGGCGCCTGTTCGTGGCGTGATGGGTTCGTGTTGCGACCTCTGGGAACTGCCAAGGCGCGCCTAGTTCCTGGAAGGATGGGGGTCTTTGTGCGAGGAGATGGGGTACTTACTTTACCTGTGGTTAGACGCCCCTTCTTCCCTCGCTCTCAAATGCCATTTAGATGTGAAATCGGTTGGGGACGAGTCCCCCCAAAGTTAGGCTTTCTAAAGATTCCTTGATGGATCGATAACAGTTTACAAAGTGGAGCCTTGGTGGTTTCTGATGTTTGGGATTGGGGCTAGAAAAGACCTGCAGCCTTACGTGCTAATGGAAAATGGTTGCGATCCGGGGCTTCCGAGAGGTTTGTCTGCTTTTCACTGTCTAGGGAAGCCGGTGGATAGCTCGTTTGCAATATTCTTTGAAGTTTCGAGGAAGTTCTTAGATTGTCGCGTGCCCGCCCCTGAGTGCAAGAGAGAAGGCTAGACCGAACTAAAGAGGGGTGGACACTTTAGATTTGGAGGATGCTGCTGTTTAAGATGTGGGTGTGAATGGTTAGTTGTTACTTGCTGAGGTCGTGGCCCCACTTGTTTGTTAAGAGGCGGGTGTGGTGCTGTTACCCGAAACTCAACCCAGCCCACTGCCGTGCAATCGATTCTGACTCAGAGTGACCCTATGGGACAGTAAAATTGTCCCATACGTTTTCCAAGGCTTTAAATCTTTACGGAAGCAGACTGCCACATATTTCCCGCGGAGTGGCTGGTGAGTTTGAACCACCGATCATTTGGTTAGCAGCTGAGCGCCTTAACCACTGCGTGGTGCTGTTAATGGAGTCTTAACCTGAATACATTTACTGTCACCAATCAAGTTAATTATCTTAATTATAGTACCTTGTCAGAAGCCAAGTGGAATATTCTCTGCCCTGGAGTGGAGTTTCCTTGGCCTTGCCTGTTTTTTGGCTCCCTTTTCTATTTCTTAGAAAGTGGTGTGCCCTATCAGATATTTTTTTTTTCCCTCTTGTAATCATCGGTCTTTATATTTGTGAATGCCTTACTTTATAAAATTACTTTTGCATAAATGATGTCATTTGAGCTTTACAATAGCCTGACTAAGTGGCTGTGGTAGGTGTGATAACCTGTGGCTTTAAGTGTTCTGTTGAATGGATGGCCTAGAACCCAAACTGAGTGATTCTTATTCCTGTGCTCGTTCAGTCTTTTTGTTGCCTCTCAATTCTGTTATAAAAACCAAAAAACCAAACTCTGCCATCCAGTTGATTGCAACTCAAAGGATCCCCATTGGGTTTTTGAGGCTGGAAATCTTTACAGAAGTAGATTGCCCCATCTTCCCTCTGAGGAGGGACTGGTGGGTTTGAACTGCTGACCTTCTGGTTTGTAGCCAAATGCTTTATCCACTACACACCAGAGCTCCTTAATTCTGGTATAGATGCAAATCTAGTTAGTGATTAGCTCCTCTGTGGGAACCCACAGAGATATATAATGTAAGATTTGTAATCCAGTCCTGTGTTTGAGATTCAGTGCCTCTGCTGTAAATTATACCTATGAATAGAGTAGACAGTTAGTAAACGGATAAAATCTTTAGAAATGGAAAAGGAGCTTTGGTGGTGCAGTGCCTAAGACACTTGAGTGCTAACCAGAAGCTTGGTGGTTCAAACCCACCAGCCACTCCATGAAACTGGGCAATCTACTTCCGTAAAGATTTACTGCCTTGGAAACCCAATGGAGGTCGCCATGAGTCAGAATCAATTCGATTGCAGTGGGTTTGGTTTTTGGGTAGAAATAGAAAAGTCCAAATCTTAAGTTGTCCCAATAACCTATTTAATATTTGGTGACATATGCCTCCCAGATCTTTGTCTTGTAATGAGGTATTCAGTTAAAAACAAAACAAAACTGCATGCCCTTACTTTAGGCTATCGCCTCTAAACACTGGGTTCCAGCCATATGGGTCTATGAAGTTATCATGCAGTCATGGGAAGATTAGCCTTTTGGGGGTACCTCACCTCCACCTCAGTTTTACTCACTTTCCTTTTCATACTTCCTTGAGATGCCAACACTACTTGAATTTTGTATATTCTGCTCTTTAACGTTGATTTACTAATTTCATTTGTCAGGTATTTATTGAGTATCCATTAAATATCAGGCAATGTGGAATGGCCAGAAATGTGGCTGACGGAAGGAGGTGGAGAGTCAGGTCCTGGCTAATTTATAGGCAAGTTAATTACACAGTTAAAGTCCGCACATTTACTGAGCATAGTCATGTGCCTAAATGTCAAGGCTTGGCTGCTTCCCCCAGTAGTTATCCTCTGCCGCATTTAAGGCTGTGTTTTTTTGTAGCATTTTGTGTCTTGAAATTGTTTAATCATGTGTCTAAATTTATTGAGGTAGGTTATGTGCTAAACCATGTTGAATACATCTTTGGAATGTACTTAGAGCTGTCCTGTTTGGCCAGCTGTTAGAATTTAACTGTGTCCCTTCAAAATGGATATTGGAATCCTAACTTATATACCTGTTGATGTAATCCTATTTGGAAATAGGGCTTTCTTTGTTATTTTAATGAGCTCATACCAATGTGGGTGTGTCTTAAATCTAATGACTTTTGAGATATAAAAAGAACAGATTAGGCATAGAGATAACCAAGCACAAACTGGAAAGATAGATGCCACGTGGGGATTGCCAAAGAACCAGAGGAATTCTGGGGCTAGAGAACCAAAAAACCAAAACCAAACTCACTGCCGTCGAGTCGATCTGACTCATAGTGACCCCTGCTTAGGTTTCCAAGGTGGTATCTCTATGGAAGTAGATTGCCCAGTCTTCCTTCCTAGGAGTGGCTGGTAGGTTTAAACTGTCAGCCTTCTGGTTAGCAGTCAGATGACTTAGGCACTATGCCATGAGAGCTCCTAGGGCTAGAAAAGCTGAGACAAAAATTTTCTCCCAGAGCTGACAGAGAACCTTCCCTTACAGCTGGTGCCCTGAATTGGGACTTCTGACTTCCTAAACTGAGAAAATAAATTTCTGTTAATTAAAGACATCGACTTGTGGTGTTTTTGTTACAGCAGCACCAGCTAACTAAGATGCCAGCCACCCATCCAAGGTTGGGTTCTGCTATGACCAGAGAATTGTAGTTTCTCTGCTGACTTCCTGAGTGTTGCCCTCTTAAGTGATATATTAGTTTCTTAAGCTGTCATCTATGTCACAATAGCCCTCGAGTGGCCCCACCTTCGTGTTACACATGAAGAAAATCTGGTGTGCCAGATACTGAGCCAGGTGGAAGAGGATATATAGACAATACATGCTGATTCTTATCCTTGAGCCCATAATCTTGTTTCCTTCTATGTCTCCTTCTCCCCCACGTACCACAGAGTTGGAACAGATGTCTGCCATATCTTGTTTCTTTAAAGGTCACAATCATCAGCTGGAATGTCCATTCTTGTCCCCTGGCTTTGCTTGTTAAAATCTGATATGCCCTTCAGGGCTTGGTTCAAAGGCCACCTCCTCCTTTCATTTTTTCCTTAGCCTCCTAAGAGAAGAAAGATTTCACCTCTACCATTCTGTAGCACTTTATATACTTTTCAAATTCTAATCATCTGTATGTTTATCTCTGCTAACTCCCTAATGGGTGATCTCTTATCTTCATTTAATATTGGCCGCCGTTGGGCCTGCTCTAAAAATGTTTGTTGAATTGGTATGGAGTGTAGACTCAAATATGGAGGTTGTGGGGCTACTGATGGCCCTTTGCTTAGAATCTCTAGGGTATAGGGTTTCTAGTTCCCTAGCCCATCAGTATTCTAGTGTGGTGACCAC